GGAAACAAAATAGTTTGTATATCACAGGGCATGACAATCCGTTTACGTCGTCAGAGCAATGCCAGGCTGATGTAGATCTTCTTTTACTGATACAGCAAGGGCTTGATTGCTATGTCCTCTGCAAATCTTAGCGGCCGTTCATTTGGGAGTGTGAGATATAAACTGTTTTGTATTCTGCAGTAAGCATCAGCTGAGGTACAGCGAAATGATTCCAGAATTANTGGTTCTTTGTTTAAGTTCATTTCGGGAAATAATTGTCTCAATTTTCTATCCTTTGTCTAAACAGACGGAGTAGGTCAAACGGTCTTCGAAAGCTTGCTGAACTATAGTCATATATTTGTAGGGTGTATTTAGACAGTGGCTGTTTGAACACAAATAAGTGAGCATTGTTGTTCAGCCCCAAACAGCTGTCCAGTGCTCTTTGTCGATCATCACAAAAGCTTCCATCGGAATTAAGTTGTACAGCGCTTCATAGATTTTCAGTTTTCAGACTCAGTAAACTGTTTTTCATGTAAAAATATCAAGATGTGGGGTTTTGCATTTCAGAAATCTAAAGGTATGTGTAGTAATCGAAGTAGGTACGGATTACAGATCGCGGTGGCAACTGAAGCACAGAGTCGTACGTTGTGGTCTCCCGTCACCGAGACGCAGGAAAAGAAGCCACAGAAGTAGAGGTTCGTTATTTTAAAGAGAGAGAGAGTAATCAGTGAGATTAAATAATATGCTAATAGAAATATGCCTCCAAAAATCTCAGTATGCTCGGCGGTGGGTGTGTAGAATTGCAGCTAGTCACCCTTTCCTTGCACCTCGCCTAATGCTCCGACCAAGCGTCTCAAATGGCCTCTGCTGAAAAAGCCCTACTCAATGCCTTCTCGTGGAGCGGAGGTGTTTCCCACCAAAGTGAGAGGACGAAAAGCCGACATTCTGGGCTATAACCGGGTTGGTGGAACACTGGTAGTTCCCCTATGAGAGTTGGCTAAAAAGCCTGATTCCAAACCAACCAAGAAGAGGCGTACGAACCACACACGATTTCCTGGTTATGACAGTCGTCACCGGTTCGATTAGGCACCTTGGTTGCTTTATCCCGTCCAAAGGGCCTATTATTTGATGAACTAGACACCGATCCACAATGGATTGCGGCTTTCGCACACCGCACCACTGCCTTGCAGGTCAGGCTTTGGCTTGCCGAAGGCTCCGGTTGTGGATTCCTCACGAAAGTTCATCTTCTTTGACCTGGACAATCTGGCGGAATTCAGCCCAATCATGGAACGTTTCACTTTTGATAAAGAATATTGTACCATGATTTGTTTGACACACAGACTGGCTTCCGAATTGCATGAAATTTAATTATAACTATCATTGGTCAAACGGATATCAACCAATCGCCATCCTTGTTCTTTGAGTCACGTGACTTCTGTGACCTGACGTCCCGAAAGTGAAACGCATACGTGCTTGGCCGGCCTAATCTCGGAGATTTGACTCATCACAGTGTGGCGAAACTGTGCGTGGGTGTATTCATCTATAAATTAGGCGTGCTCTGCGGAAAATAGTTTGAAAGCCTGATATACCGTGCGGTACCCACGACATCAACAAAGCGTTTTACACACTTTTTCTAAATGGCTATTACATTTTTTAATCACTACCCATCTCAATGAATCCTGTCTTTGAAGAAAATCTACTTGAAGACGTGCGCAATGTACGCACTGTTCCACTTGTTCCATGAAGAATAAGAAACCGTATCAGAAGCGGACTTTGTCTGCTGCCTTACGTCTAACCTCAGCATTCATGATTCGATTCTGAGGTTTGACATGTAGTGTTGACCAGAAACCAAATACTGGTATTTGGTTTCCATCTGAACGCCTTGGTGACAACGTGTGGAACACACAATTACGTACGCCTGGGGTTGAGATATCAGAAGTTCGTTGTTTTTGTTGTTGCTTATATGGTGGTCTGTGCCACAATTCAAGCGGGCTCATTTTATCGATCTTTAAACGGTTTTTAAGTGATTGTGGTGAGTTAACCCCTCCGATATGATGCCAACCAAGAGGCTGCACGTTCCAGTTTCGGGAGATTGGGTCACGGGCCAACAGTATCGATCAACTGATGACCATGCAGTTCAGTCAGAAACCATGTGACTCGAAGAACGAGGATGGTGATTGGTTAGTGCCCGTTTGACCAATAATAATTTTATTTACATTTGATTCAATCCCTTTAATTTCTCTCAGCAAACAAAGCGATGCGTCTGTGACCTTTTTCCTGCATCTTGGTCATGGTAGATTCCAATCTATAATTGTTGGTGTCATTCCGTGCTTCATTTGTGACATTCATTCGTGATTCGTGCCTATTTCGACAACTACAGTGACATTAAGGTCGCTTCCGTGACCATGTTGCTCGCCTCTGTCGTGTGCGCACTAAGCTGTGACGAGACTGGATTGGCTACAACATGAAACAGTTTAAAACCAAAGTCTCTTTTATTGCTATATAGAGTTGGCTTACAATAAAATATCTGGACTAAACTCATTCATGCCAACCCAAGCCTTGAAGATCCTACATTCAAAAGGTTGCCACATTTGTGAAATCTTCAGATCTAACGGTGAGGAACAAAACCGGAGACCCCCAAAATTGTAATTTTTTAAACAAGCTATATCAGATCGAAATTTCCACTGGTATACCCCAGTTCATTGCACGCCCATTGTTGAGCTCATCAGACGCTGTCAAGCAGGCTAGGATTTTCATCGTGAGTGACCAATTGAAAGTTAACTCGTTTTCAAATTAGATTATAAAATAGAACACACAGTGACAGTCTTAATGGTTTGGATGGACCCGTTTGATTTCACGGAAACAAAGTATTGAGTTATATCGTAACTGCAATACAATCAAAATGCTAGACTGAAGATTACATCCTAAAACCTTCGGAAACCGTATGCAGCCCGTAGAACTGGAACAGGTTAATCTGAAGTTACCTGTTGATAATTTTTCAAATTTTCCGTGCTTTCCAACAGATCACAAATCTTGGCACTCGGTGAGGCTCGTTATCGGCTGGACGGTTTGAACAGTTTAAACTACACACTGGTTGATCAAAAGATGCAATTCTACGACGACACTCTGGTAGGCAATATGACCGATAAAAAACCGCGAGAGGATTCTGCGGCTCAACACTGGTTGATTCACTTGAANTTGAAAATCGATGTTGGTCAAGCACCCGCATGGCTAGGAAACACAAATTTGCGTGTATAATTTCTGATCATCCACCCGCCCTTTCCTCGTCCTCGTTCTCCTCTTCCCACCGTCCGGTTCGTCCCTGGTCTTCTTTTACCGCACCCTTTAACCGTTTTCAGATTTGTCCTAGGTTGACAAATCAACAGATTCAATTTTTCTTTATACTTGAAGATAAATTTGTCTTTCGAAATACAAATTATCAAGAACATATGAGAGTAAAGCCAATTTTACAGAATTCGATGAGTTTCAAGGAATAAGTATACTGGTAAAATACTTGAAGGTATACACGAGTAATATGTACAAATATTGCACTTCACGCCCTTGGAGATCATGAAATAGTAGTCAATAGATCAAAAGTGAATCAAAATCACAAAGAATAGCAATTGAATGTTAATAAGAAGCATAATGCAAAGCAATACGGATATTGGGAACCGGTGGGCTAGTAGCGAGGGATGAGAAATAGGGTTCTATCATTTACTTGTCCTCGGCCTCGGTTGGGGCAGTTGCCGCGTTTGAGGCCGCATCATTCGCGGACTGCGCGTCCGAGGCCGGCTGAACCCAATGTCGTGGAATCCACAAAGCTTCTGTTTCCATTCGGTAAGCCAATTCGGACAATTGCTCCAGAGCCACAGGCAAATCATCGTTGATCAGCACGTAATCACATAAGTGTCCGTGCGTGATCTCCATTCGGGCGGCAGTCTTCAACATGTCCTGAAGTTGGGCTTCCTGTGAAGCGAAACAAAATGTGGGGGAAGATTGTTGATGATTCAATAGCTGATATGAACCGACTATCCTTTGGACTCCCCCCCCNAGCTCATCAATAGTGCATATACACCGTCCCATCGTCCAGGCATTGAACTCTGGAACCATCGCATGGAAGGCGTGTTTTATCACTATGCCAACCAGCTCATGACATGGCTGAACCTACTCACGAATAACTATGAGTTAAATGCTGATTGTGGATCGAGGCTGGTAGGTTTGTGGCAAGCCTGCCTATAAACTGCATGTAAGTCCTGACTTGGTGGGAGGCTTTCGATTGGAGTTAACAGATAATTAACTATGTCCCCTTTCGTTGCTTTCGGACCAAATGAACTGACTGACTATGACTGAAGATTACAGGTTAACATGCATGAATTGGCAATTCGGTTCAGCCACGGTATGAGCTGGTTGGCACAGTGGTAACGCACACACCTTTCATGCGATGGATCCAGAGTCTAAATCCCGGACGGGACGGTGTATATGCACTATTGATGAGCTCCAATAAGAGTGAAATTCAAGTCTGGCTCTTCCGAGTGTATAATTGATAGGATAAACTGGGGATTGTGCGTGAATTTGGAGTCACTTCAAATCAGTATCAATTATCTCACACCACTGATCACAAGTAACTGACTTAAATGCAAAACTATAGTTGCTGGCGCTGAGTCAGAAGAATCAAGCAAAGGGCTCTGTGGTTCACCATCTTAGGCCTCAGAAGCCTCAATGATTATAGTTGGTTTTTGCTACAGGACACAGGTATCTCATAATGATGGAATGAAAACCACAGTGCTTTATGCTTAACGGTAAAATAGTTGAGCCTCAAATCTATGTAGACCTTTTGTTCAGTTAGAAGAAACGGAAATCTGAGTCCTGAAACTTGCTTGGGTGAACCTAGTGAAATATTGGCAAGATAGGTGAGATATTTAGCCACATACTAACGAGGTTGCTAATCATTAATATTGAGTGGTAGTAACGGGGTTCGAACTTAGAACCTCAAAGCAGAGAGTACGCCAGTGACGGTGACAAGTAAAGGTGTGATCATTGGTCCTGCTAAGAATAGATGATAACGTCTGGGCTAGCTGGAAAACGATTTGTTCGGATAGTGTTCAGTATTTGACCTCGCAAGAGCGAGCGAGCGAGAGAAAAATAATGAGGAAAATGCGCACTCACTGTCAACTTGTTGCGTGATAACAAATCAGTTACTGACGAGGAGGACCCGGTTGAAGATCCGACTAGCCGCCGAAGTTGTTCGTCCGATCGATGGCGCATATCGGATCGGGGACGTCCGATGCTCGCACCCCACAGAGTACGATTTGGTCGATTCGTACTGTTCAGTCGCGGAGTGGTGGGCACCGAGCGGGCCGGTGAACTCATTGGAGAGCACAAACTGGGATCGGTCGAATAGGGTTGGGGGGATATGGCCAATTGTCTTGTTTCTATTAAAACTTCCAGACTTGGTGGCTTAACGAACACAATCAACGGTTTTAAGGTAGCCGTACGAATTTGTGGAAGATTCTACAATCGTATGAAAAATTAATGAAAGCAGAAAGTTGACTGAGAATAAAAGTAAAAGATACATGATTGCTCAGAATGTTTCACCAGCTATTTTGTCGTGTTTGAACAAATAAAAATTCTGTGGGCCCTTAATTATATTATATTATATATATATATATATTATATCATTTCGAATGGTAGGAGTTACACACGAGCAATTTTTTCGAATGTTTACAGTACAATAAGAGCGGTGCATGAATAAACGCTACTACTCATTATTGGTATGTACATATATACAGCATGTTCAAGTAAACAGCTTACTGTGGAATACTTACTAATCACTTTTTGTTTTGTTTGGTTGAATTTAAATAAAAAATAAATAAATTACCCTGAGGAAATAAAATAAAATCACGGAATACTAGAAACGATTTCATCATGTACGTTATGTCACACGAACAAGTAAATAAGTACACATAGAATGTGACCGTAGAATCTGGAAATTTGTCTTTCAGTTGCAAACACACTATTGGCTTGGACGTGAACAACACACGAAGCTTGGATGCACAGAAGGTCTTATTGATCGCGTCGGATAATCTTTTTTGGATGATCTCAGCTGATGAGTCCCCTTTGAACGGCAAAGAAATGTACACGGATTTTTCTTAACCTCGGTGTTGTGTAGTGTTCTCCATGCACCAAATCATTTTGTAAACTAAACGTTCCGGATACCCGTTGCGTGCGAAGATCGATTTTATAGTGCAGGGCTCTTCTTCTAGCGTCCTCACTGCAGATCTTTTTTACCCTGTCCTCTAGGCAACGAACTAGATTTTTTTCTACTTCAAGTGTTACAAAGCTTCGGAAGTGGATGTATTGGTCTTTCAAAGTTGCCTTTCCATGCACGGAACGCTGCACCGAACCATCTAGTCGACGGGTGTTGCAGACATCTAGAAACGGCAATCTTTTGTTACACTCCATTTCTAAAGTAAATGTTATTTTGCGCAGTGTTGACCCAAGACAGTTTTATTTTCAAGTAGTGATATATGGAGATGTATTGGTATGAATACGACTTTCCGAAAAGAAGCTTGTTATCCACTATGCTTTTTTTTGTTTGAAATGTCCTCTGTGAGACCATTCTGACAAATAAATAAATGTTTTCACTTCCGATACGAATGTTCAACCAACCTTCCGGAAGGGGACCGTGGTCATGCAAAGGCTGCTTATGGAAATACATGAACGCAGTAGATTGGTTGCCTTGGCGGAATCGAAAATTCAGAACTTCCAGGTAGCTATTTGGATGACCCCAACCATTTGGAGATTGCGGCCGACCAATGTTTGCCGTGTTACATAACAATGGTAAATTTGGACGATGGTTGGATTCAAAAAAACGACATCCTCACAAATATGATGATGGCTAAATCCTACCGCAGTAGAAGGACCGAATAAACAACAGGCCGCCGCTAACTGGTGGAGTTTACGCATTGAACTCTCTCAAATAGCAATGTTCCAAAACGTGTCGGCTCACGATGTCAAATTACGACAGGACTTACTCGATAATCTGCCTCGAATACGGCGACTTGACCAGCTTGAATGATCTCTAATACAGCATCCAGACAAAGCCCGGTCATTTCGTCTTTGGCTGAATCGGATTGATCTATGAGGCTGAGCATAAATAAAAACACAGAAATATATTGATTCGATTTGAGGAAATGATTTGACTAAGTTTGTTTTAACGGCAGATGGTTTTGCAAACATTGACCTTACGATCAATATGAATTTTGATTGGAAGTCAAACAATTGAAGTGCATAGGAATCAATTGGCTTGTGTAATTTATTACTACTGACCTGTCCGCTTCAACAAATGTGTCAAACTCATCGCGGGTCACAAACAGATAATCCACACCATGGACTTCTCCAGGACGAGGATCCCGAGTGGTAACTGTCAAACAAAGGGAAGAGGAAAAGTACAACTGGTGAAAGCCGGTTTTCGTCTCCAATATGTGCATTAATAATTTAACTACTCGTGAGTAGTGTAATTGAAACACATTAAACACGGTTGAAATAACTTGGTGTGAATACAATAAAACATGGTCGGGAGCAAACCATTCTATTGAGAGGTAGCCTTTAAAACTGTGACGTGTATGCATTCTTTCCGTGTACTTTCGAAAAGGCTTCATATTGGTACAGTGAAGAATATCTTTCACCAAAAATCGTGAGAAATGCAAAAGTTGTACGTTTGAGCAGAGTTCCAAACATACTTCGGATTGGTTCTCGAAAGTGTTCCGGATCAGTATTGATCAATTGCTGAACGAGTTCTGTTTTCCCTACCCCCGATGGTCCTGTAAAGAAAAATAGCAAAGTTCCGGATAATTTACACGTATGCAGTCAAATGGTCATCATATGTGATGATACTTAACCAATATACGGGATATTGGAGAATGACAGATGCGTCAGTTCATATCCCACCTAGGCTATTGAACTTTTCAATCTTCCAAACAACAATTTGAAGAATCAGATCTGCCGAAATAATGATTCATTGAGCCAGTACACGACACACAAGAGTTTAGGGAGAAAACCCAGAATATGTAATGGTTTATTCCTTTCAGTAACCCAGATAACCTATATAAGCAATTTATTCTCTCTCTCTCTCTTACTGAGAGATGGATGGTCCATAAGTCGACGGGCAAATCAAAGCTGAAGCCAGATCGCAATTTCTATCAGTAATATCCGGAACTAAAATTCTTTCGCATCAGGCCGAGAGTCATCGCCATATC